CTTCAACAGTTTCATGTATGCATGAACTGAGCAGCCCTCGAATGTGCAAAATGAGAAGGACAGTATGGAGAAAGGGGCCGTGAGATGCAACCCCATCCCCAATCCCCACCCCCTCCTTCTCCCCCTCCTTCTCCCACTGCTCCTCCCGCTCCTCCTCCCGCTCCTCCACCAAACAACATGACAATGATCCCGCCGTAGCCCCGCTCACGCTCCTTCTCCCACTCCTCCCTCTCCTTCTCCCGCTCCCTCTGTTGCCGCTCCTCCCGCTCCTCCTGCTGCTCGTCCTCCTTCCGCTGCTTCTCCTGCTTTTCCCCCCGTTCCTCCTCCCCCTCCTCCCCCTCCTCTTCCCGCACCATAGCCCCGCTCCTGCTCCTTCCCCTCCTTCTCCCACGCCTCCTCTCGCTCCTTTTCCCGCCCCTCCCACTCCTCCTCCTCCTCCTCCTCCTCCCCCTCCCGCTCCTCTGCCAAACAACGTGACAAAGATCCCGCCATAGCCCCGCTACCGCTCGTTCTCCTGCTGCTCCTCCCTCTCCTCCTCCTCCTCCCGCTCTCACCCGTGCTGCTTCTTCTCCCGTTGCTTCCCCTGCTCTTTCCCCCGTTCCTCCTGCCGCTCCTCCCGCTCGTCCTCGTGCTCCTCCCGCTTCTCCTCCTCCACCTATATCTCCTCCCCCTCCTCCGCCTCCCGCACGTTCGTTAACCCCCTCCCCGTTTCCCCTCCCGCTCCTTCTACCGCCCCTCCTCCCGCGCCTCCTCCGCCCCTTCCCGTTTCTCCTCGTGCTCCTTCTCCCGCTCCTAACCCCCTTCCCGTTTCCCCTACCGCTCCTCCTTCTCCAGCTCCTCCTCCCGCGGCTCCTCCGCCCCTTCGCATTTCCCTTCCCGCTCCTTCTCCCGCACCTGTTCCCGCTCCTCCTCCCACCCCTCCTTTTCCCGCTCCTTTTCCCATCCCTCCTCCCGCTCCTTCCGGTCCTCCCGCCCCTCCTCCCGCTCGTCCTCCACCAAACAACGTGACAAAGATCCCGCCATAGCCATCTCCTATGAAAAAAACAAAAGAAAAATGGCCCGCCACGTGGCTTGCCGAGAGAGAGAGAGAGAGAGAGAGAGAGAGAGAGAGAGAGAGAGTTTTCCATCGATAGAATGAGCAACGCACCGGCCAAAAGGCAATTCGACTTTGCTCATCCTATCGATGGAACTAGCGTGAGGCCAGGCGCGGGGTTGGAGACTTACCTGTTCGCCAGTGCGTCTCTCTCTCTCTCTCTCTCTCTCTCTCTCTCTCTCTCTCTC